CAGAATTTAGCAGTAGTTCCCGCGCACGTATGGTCGGTAGTTTGGCTGGGCCTTCAATATCAATCCATGAAAACCTCATTCGGGATTTGCGCATGTCGCATTTCAGCTGCGGACGGTTCTGTGGTTTCCTACTGGACTCCTATAAAGTTCTCGGGGAATTCATCGAATTCCCAATGAATTTCGCAAGGGAATCATTTTTTATACCTATTGGATTCCAATTACACTTTACTCGATTATTATTGCATGTCTATTGGGCTCCTAGGAATTATTTCCATTGCGGCCCCTCTTGAATACCAATTAAAAAAAAGTTTCCTACTATTCCGACGGAAGGACCCCGCATGAGAATCCTCTGGGCGAGTCTGGAAAAAAACCCTCACCGTCGTCTTCGTGGTTGGTGAGGCGTCTTGGCTGTCTCTTCTGCGTATATTTCTTCTCGCCCTGGCGCGGGCCCTTCCCCCGCTCCCCACGTTGCCCCCGACCTCGCCCTCCTGTCTTGGCTCCGGACATTCAGAAAGTGGCCCGGGAGTGGTGTTCTGGGAACGCGAAGAACACGAAGTGGCCTACAGTTGGCTCCGGGCATTCAAAATGTGGCCCGGGAATGGTGTTCTAGGAGCACGAAGAACACGAAGTGGCCTACAGTTGGCTCCGGGCATTCAGAATGTGGCCTGGGAGTGGCGTTCTGGCAGCGCGAGAGCCCAAAAATGACGACGGTTACAAGAATTGGATGACCCGCTCGGATTAATAACATGAGCCGCGGGCCCCATAGGGAGGGGGTTCCCGCTTGAGACTTCCTTGCAATTCACTCACAAATGTGGCGTGGGAGTGGCGTTCTGGCAGCGCGAGAGCCCAAAAGTGGCGACAGATACAGGAATTGGATGACCCGTTCGGATTAATAACGTGCTCCGTGGGCCCCATAGGGAGGGGGCTCCCGCTTGAGACTTCCTCGCAATTCACTCACAAACGAGGCCCAAGGCGAGTGAGTGAGTGACTGACTGACTGACTGGTGATGAAGATGATCATAATACTCTCTCGCGCGCACACTCATCATCATCACCACCACCACCACCACCACCACCACCACCACCACCACCATCATCATCATCATCATCATCATCATCATCACCATCATCACCATCATCATCATCATCATCATCATCATCAGCATCATCATCATCATCATCATCATCAGCATCATCAGCATCATCATCATCATCATCATCATCATCATATGTGAGTCCATGAGCGTGTGAGTGAGTGAGTGATGGTGAGTCAGTGAGTGAGTGAGTGAGTGAGTGAGCTAGTGAGTGAGTGAG